AAGCTTGACGTCACGATGGCGAAAGTAGATACACTCGTTGCCGATGTAGGCAAGCTAAACACTAAAATGGATGCCCTTACAGAGAATAATAGTAAATTTAAAGCCGAGTTCCTGACAATCAAGCAAACTGTCAATGCGGTAAAGAAAGATCTTGGCACTGCGGTCGAGAATATTAAGGCGCAAGGAAGTCGTCTGGAGATAGTCGAAGAACGTCTATCCAATAAATCTGTGGGCTTATCAAAAACAGATAAAGCAATACTGCTTCGCGTAGCCTGTCAAAGTATGGCCATTCAGCTGGTCATTATGGGAGTATCCGAGTTTACTGGTGACGGTAATGAAGATCTTAATGAGTTCGTCCCGAAATTAACCTGTGCGTTGGATGTGGACCTATCTCCAGCTGATGTGGTTCGTGTGGAGCGGATGGGAAGATTGAGAAAGAGAACATCAAGCTCCATGGTAAATGATCATGTGACGTCACGTGCAATTGTTCTGGAGCTGGCCACGAAGGTAAAATGTGATCAATTCATTGTTGCAAAGAAGCATCACCCGAATTTGAAATCTTCCAATATCGACAGTGGATATTTGGACAGCAAAATATATATAAATCGCCGGCAGCCCATTGAGCTACAGAAGTTGAGGAATCAAGTACTTAAAAAGTGCCCTTCGCTGAATCCCAGAGCCGTTTGGATCGCTGATGCGGCAGTATACATCAGGAAGGATATGGATGCCAAGCCGTATAGGGTTCTTTCAATCAGTGACTTATCGGAATTAACCTTATGATTTATTGGTGCACCTACTCCAGCGATAATCCTACCTGTCTTGTCGGATCCCATGCTAAGCATTTGCTGTCTCAATGCGCAGTCTCTTCCCGCTCACATCGACGAATTTCATAGCTCTGCAAGGCTACTCTGTACTTCGTGTGGATCGCAGAGGTAGAGTTGGAAGTGGAGTTGCTCTCTTTCTGCGAAACGGATTATGCGCCCAAATGGTAGCCTCCTCATCATCTCTTCCTCAATCTGACAGAGTTCCGGAATTCCTGCTTGCTGAAGTCTGGACACTCGCTCGGCCAAAGGTTCTGATAGCTGCCGTGTATAGACCCCCAAAAGTGGGCTTCTTGAACATCTTCGAGGAGGAGTTTGCAGCCAGGGCAACATGTTACAAGTTTGCACTCATACTTGGTGATTTTAATGCGGATCTATTGTCTTAACTTGATCGCTTAACATATAGTCGTCTAAATGAGAGCCTCGTTTTTATTGCCGCATGCTATCATGTTATTCTGTTATATACTACTATACTACTCATTGTAAAATTGTGATATTACACTTATGTACAACCTGCCTATGGCCCTTAGGGAGCTTAGCTCCAGGGACAAATAAATTATTCTCTCTCTCTCTCTCTCTCTCTC